CCATGCCAGGCCTGCAACCGGCTTTAGTAACCTCTCCCAAAATTTAACCCCATCCCTAAAAAGTCACCACCACGTTCCAAAACGTAAACCATTTCATTAAAAAAATAATTTATTGCATCTTATATACAAACTGCAAGAATGTTCACTTATAAAATACTGACATCTCACCCGTTGCAGCAGCTGCAGGCAGGAGGAGCGAGCTTTCCAGCCGTGCTACGTGCGCACGTAAACCCGAGGGGGGGGAAGTCACAGCGGTCACAGCTCAGGGGGGTCACGTATTGTCACACGAGCAGAGGTGAGCCCCCAGCCCAGGATGAGGTGCAATAGGTTTGGGCACTCGTAGGAAGCCCGCTGCCCTGCGAGCAGCGCTGTTGTATTGCGTGGCGTTCTGGAGAAAAGAGACAATCTAGGAAAAGGGGGTGGTTGTAGGGCAGAGAGGTTCTCCTGCCCCTCTGCTCTGCCCTGGTGAGACCGCATCTGGAATATTGCGTCCAGTTCTGGGCCCCTCAGTTCAAGAAGGACAGGAACTGCTGGAGAGAGTCCAGCGTAGGGCTACAAAGATGATCAAGGGAGTGGAGCATCTCCCTTCTGAGGAGCGGCTGAGGGAGCTGGGGCTCTTTAGTTTGCAGAAGAGGAGACTGAGGGGAGACCTCATTCATGTTTATAAATATTTAAAGAGTGAGTGTCACGAGGATGGAGCCAGGCTCTTCTCGGTGACAAACAATGATAGGACAAGGGGTAACGGACACAAACTGGAACACAGGAGGTTCCACTTCAATTGGAGAAGAAACTTCTTCTCAGTGAGGGTGACAGAGCACTGGCCCAGGCTGCCCAGAGAGGTTGTGGAGTCTCCTTCTCTGCAGACATTCAAAACCCGCCTGGACGCCTTCCTGTGCAACCTCATCTGGGTGTTCCTGCTCCGGCAGGGGGATTGGACTGGATGAGCTTTGGAGGTCTCTTCCAATCCCTGACGCTCTGGGATTCTGTGTGATTCTGTGAAAAGGGAGGAGGGGTGAATCGGCACAGGCTGAAAGATTTAATACTCTGTTTTTTTCCCTCTTGGTACCTGGGGAAGATCCTTCATAAATATTTTTAAGATTTCAAGCACAACAGACAGACCAAGACTTCCTAATTCCATAACATTTGTGCTCAGTAAGCAATTCCACTGAGAACACATTACCCGGCGTGCCCAAACGCCGCAGAATCGAGCTGTGAGCTGAGGACAAACCTCACTGCTTGGAGTCCATGGCAAAACACACTTTGATTTCAACGGGACTGGGGATTCACTGAGTGAAAACCGGGCTGGGCTCCAACCTGTCCTGCTCCGTGGTTTGTTCACAGGGAGCTGAGCTGCTCTGGCTACACAATAGGGAGAGAAACCCATCACCTGCACGTGTGCTGCCTGAAACGGAGACCGGCACAGGCGGAGCTGTAAACGTCTGTTGGAGCCGTTTCTCCGTGTGCTTTGCCACAGCCTGGCTGAATCCTCCAGCCTCAGCCCTACCGAAAAGTGTGGTTCCCTGCAGAGCCTGGAGCGCTCATCTGGCTAAATCCCAGCTCCCGGATTCACTTTGCTGCCTGGCGAGGCACGGGGAGCATCCCCAGGGCCGGCGGCCGAGCGTGGCTGCTCAGCACGTCACGTGTGGCAACGGGAGCCGTGATTTCGTACAGCATGTCCACAATGAGCTCGACGATGTCCGCGTCGCCGATGACGGGACGGAAGAGCAGATCCGTGATGAGGGCGGGAGGGATCGATTTTAAGGTGGAGGCGAGCAGCAAAATGCGGGCAAAGCGGCCCTGGTCCTCGGGGTGCAGGGGCTGCAGGACCTCCTGAAGCGCTCTCTGGGCTTCCCGCTGGAGGCTCTCGATGTAGAGGGAGGCTCTCAGCCCTGGGACATCTGCAGAGGGAGAGGAGGAAAAGCCGGTGATGAGGGAGGCTGGAAAACAGCCCCACAGGTTTCTCCCAGTCCCACCCTTCCCCGTTTCTCAGAAGGGACCAGGCTAATGAGGCGTACACAGCACTGCCAGGATGGAGCTATTCCAGGGCTGCTGTTTTGAGGGAGCAGAAGTAGTTAACTGGGCAAATTAATGATTTAGAAATTAAATCCCGGGGATCTTTACTGTCTGCAGGGCAGGCAAATGTCTCTGCCCTTTAACCACTACATTTAACACCCCTGTTCCTGTTGTATTTGGTAACGATCGGTGTTAAGGACAAGGTAACCAGCCCTCCCAAACGCTTTGAACGCCCCCAAGCTGAGGTGTTCATGTTGGGATGCTCCTGAGCACAGAGTGAGCTCTCCCAGTGGCAGGCAGAGCCTCGTGGGTTGGGCACTCACCAGGGTTGAAGAGAATGGCTCCCTTCAGGTAGGCAAACTCCTTGGGGCTCAGGTCCAGGCTCCAAAAGGTGTTGAGGCAGCACTGCAGGCGCTGCACAGCGGCCAGCGTGGGCTGCGTCTGCTCGGGCTCCTGCCGTTTGCTTTGGCCATTGAGGAGGATCTTCTTGAGCATGCTGGGGGCCGGGGTCTCCATCACCTCAAAGGTCACCATCTCCTGGACCAGCCCCAGGAGGAAAAGGGGGACCCAGCAGCTGTCGAGCAGCAGGAGTTGATCCTCTCGGGGCAGCAGGCGGAAGGAAGGGAGGTTTTTCATGAAGCTGATGGTTTTTACCAGCACGTTGGAGGCCGCCTGGCAGGTGATGTGGGGCGTGCGCAGGCAGACGGTCCGGCGCTGGTGGCAGTGGCAGCGCTGCCGGGCTGGGCTGTGGCTGACCCGGCCGTGGTTGAGGTTCTGGCTGAGGAGGGTGTAGAGGATGGCGGTACGCTTGTCTTCGCTGTGGCACTGGCACCTCTCGCAGTCCACGTCCACGCCGCTGCTGCTCATGGCTGGCTCCTCAGCGAAA